ATTGTAAAATCAATAATAAATATATGTTTCTTTTATTTATTTTAAATTATTAATTATGGTAAATTTGTAAATAGCAGCTTTTATAATGGACTCATATGATATCCAAGTGGTCTAACTGAATATGAGGAATCATAGTTATCAGATATTCTGTGGGGTGGGTGAGTGGAGTCAGTATAAGATGGAGTCGGTATAAGATGAAATAGTGGAGTCAAGAAAGGATTAGGGATGACAAGTGAATCAAGTAGTGACCGATGTAGGTGATGATTAGAGTAAAAAAGAATGATGTTTTAAGCGTAAAGAGTAAATCATAAAATATGAAGCAGCTACAGCAATTGTCTGTGTGAGTTTTTGTTATTCTCAGTACAACACACGAAGGCAACGAAGAGGCGTGTTGGGATCATGGAGTGGTGGATTCAAATTGATTTTATTAATACAATATTTTAAATCAAATCAAATAAACTTGACTTACCTCGATATTGATGAGAGAGAGGGTAGCAGTTATCTTTGCAGGTATATGCCTTAAATATTCGTATTGTTATTTAGCTTTAAATCCCTTTGAACTCTTAGCAATAAGTCAGTTGATTCTCATAATCATCTTTATGCTCATCTTGCAGGGAATTCTTTATGCTTAAGTTATCTCTCCGATAAGTTAGCTATATCATATACTGAAGTGCAGCTATCTCTATGAGAGTAATTCACTTTCTTAACAGTTCCGGATCATGTACGCCCACGCGTCTGTTCGTTGCCCGAGCGTCCGTACAATCCACGGGCAAGCGACGATCTCTATCGGCTGCGCCACTTCTCTATCAGCAAAGGCAACGTGGTCAACTGTGGGGATTCGATCATATCGCGACGATCGCGCAGCAACACAAGCGTCAATTCGACGAATAGTCGCGCCAGTGAACGATCACCCTTCGAGGGCAGCTGCTGTGGTGCGGGCTATGCGAATGTGGACTCGCTGCCCGCCTCGCCCGATGATTCGGAGAGCATGGATCCGCCGCCCCCGGCACGATATCGGGTCGTAATGCTGGGCGATGCGGGCGTGGGCAAAACGGCGTTGGTCAATCAGTTCATGACATCGGAGTACATGCACACGTACGATGCAAGTCTGGGTAAGTTGATAAATCTCTCTCTCTCTCTCTCTCCTCCCCCCCTCTGGATGTGTGGGTGTGAGTATGCAGAGTGAGTAACGATTGATGCCCTTTGATGAAACCTATGCGTGTCGTATGATCCTCAGTCGATCCCGATTGCCGCTGGTTTCCGCTTTCGTCTATAGGGTTTAATTCTGATCTGAGTTTTAGACGATGAGTTCGGCGAGAAGACGGTCAGTGTCTTGCTGGACGACGAGGAGTCCGACATGGTCTTCATCGACCATCCCAGCGTTGAGATGAGCGTCGAGAACTCCCTATCCACCTACGAGCCGCACGGCTGCGTCGTGGTCTTCTCTGTGGTGGACAAAGGCTCGTTTCGCATCGCCGAGGAGATTATCAACTATCTGTGGCAAGAGAATTACACCAAGGACAAGGCAGTCATACTTGTGGGCAATAAAGCGGACTTGGCGCGCGCAAGGCTTATCACGTCACAGGGTGAGTAATGGGCTCGGACAGAGCGGGAGGTTATAAATAGAGATGGGTGCGACTCGTAACGATAAGGAGATACCGTGAAATGGACTCAACGAAATAATCGAAACGAATTGCTTCTGCGATGAGAGTTAATGAGTTTAATGAGTATAAATGAAAGACGTTGAAGGATATCAAAGAGGTTCGAAGTCCAAAGAACTCTCTGTGCTTCAACTATACTCATATCTTAAGTTAGCATATATCAAAAGCAATGATAACTCAGAGCGAGTCATATCAGTCGATGATTCACAGATGAGTATATGACTATAAATATATTGATAAATATTATTAATAAAATTGTATTTAAAAGTAGTGAAATAATTACATAGGCATATAGAGTATTTTTTTTGTTTTGAATTGAATACCAATTGATAACAACTACTAGAGAAGGAATAGAATACTATGATTATAAATATGGGCATACAGATTGCTTGCTTGTAGATAGAGTGTACATGATTAAAATATTAAATATCCAAAAGAATGAGTGTATAGAGAATTATCGAATTTGATTCACCATTAATGATGATGATTATTATTATTATTATTACTGTCTACTACAATTTTCAATTCAATATAAATACAATACTAAGCCTTGCCCCGCTATTTGTGCTGACTAATAGGAGTGAATCCTTCAGGCTTTCACCTCTTGTTAAATAAAAACAGACGCCTAGACGGATGTATCCTGTCTTAATTATGATTTCTCATTTCTCAACTCTCGTTTCACATTTAATATTTCATGTTTCATGCTTTGACGCACACACAGAGGGAAAAACGCTGGCTGCCTCACGCGATGCCAAATTTATTGAGACCTCCAGCGGCATACAACACAATGTCGATGAGCTGCTCGTCGGGATACTGAAACAGGTAAGCCAGAGCAGTAGCAGTAGCAGTAGCAGGAGGAGGAGCAGGAGCGGGAGCAGCAGTAGCTTTCGTTCCGGTTGGGGTTGGAACGTAATCCTGCTGGGGGTCGGGCTGACTGAGGGGTGATTTAGGTTTAGGTGCGAAATACACGCAACTCATTGATGCATGCGAAAATTGTGCAGGAAATAACTTAAATGGATTTGTGGTACGTTCGGTTGTGGGCATTAGCCTTTCACATCGTTTCACTAATTAATGAAAATTGAGCTGAGCCGCGCCAGTCGGACTGCCAGAATGGTATTAAAACTGGGCCAGCTACAATGCATAGCATTTTCCGAATTTAGCTGCCATACAAATCGCCGTGTTACTCACATTACCTTTGCAGATGCGGCTCAAGGAGACGCGCGAGAAGAAGGCTACCTCATCGAAGATGAAGACCTCACGCACTCACATCTCGCTGCATCTGGCCAAGGAAATACTGCAAAAAATTTGCCTTAGCGATATTTCCAAGTCGAAAAGCTGTGAAAATCTTCACGTGCTGTAAACAATGCAAAAAAATGGAGCAAGCAAAACAAAGCAAAAATTACCCCAAAGCAAACATAGCAGAAATCAATAGCCAAAAGAGAATGGAGAAAGAAATATAAGTAAAAAAAAAAAAAGCAAACAAAAAGAAAACAGCTAAACAAAGATTATTTTGCTAGCATTTTAAAGCCATATAAATTCCATATATAAAACATAAATATATATACATATATTTTAATC